AGTTTATATTGACTGGTATCTATTTTTTTCTGTTGGAAGACCATCAAAATGGAGGATGGATCAACATAGATACTTTGTAATACTGTCAGAAAATATCTCTGGGTCCGCTCCTGTTATTGACCATGTTACCTGTTGTGCAAGATTAAAATTCAGTGTTGACTGACAGTGCTATTATAAGCATTATTTATTATTGCATCAAAATTGACAAAATGACCTTTTTTGCATCTTTATTTTCTGTTTTTTGTCTGTACATTTGACAGCTTTGCTGCCTTGTTTCTTTTTTTATTTCAGATCTGCCTTCCAATTGACCAATTCCCACTATGCCATGTAAGATTTGAGTTCAGACATTGTTCAAGTAAGTTCAGGTTTATTTTATATACCTTGCCATATTTTTCCTCAATTCATATTTGTTGTTGATACTAGTTGTATTTAACTGTACTTAATTTGACATTTGCATTGGGGTTTTATTGTATGATGTTTATAAAAGACTTCTGAATGGAAACCTTTCAAACAGCTGGAATAATTTTTGTTGAACATATGAGGTCAGGATTAAAATCATATTTTTATATCCTGTATATCCTTTCAGCACAAAAACCAAAGCACCTGTTTTCATTTGGCTTCATACGCCTCCATGATGGAGTGACAATCAGAGACGGGAAACATGAACTCATTCTATACAAGGTGATACACAGGATGAAAATTAAACTTAAAATTATTTTATAACTTTCAGAAGAAATGTTCTTTATTTTATAAATCTCTGTCATTTTTTTATTATGTTATTTATAATGTAAAAGATATGTCTCACAAACATGGGAGATAGTGTGTCTGACTTCTCTATCATTTTCTTATTTCAGTGTGAGGACTACGTGAAGTTAAAGAACGTGTCCCACTATCTCAGCCTCCCGTCAACCACTGAAGATGTCACTCACACAAACAGCAATAAATATTTCACCAAAGACACAGAGGACGCCACTATCTACACCACGCTTTGCTCAACTAAACATACGCAAAATGGTAAGAACTATGTCAGAACTGCAATATTGCCATCCTGATCTCCGAGGCAGGGGATTGGCAGATGCCAAGGCAAATGTTTCTTTACTTGGTTTCAAACATCTGGTTGCCAAAGGGGCCCTCTATCCAGAAATTGTGAACATTTATCTAGATGTGTTTAAGATAAATGAAATTTATCTGTAGGCCTGCATGTATTCAAACTGCCACTGACTGCAGGAAAATAAAGTGACATATTACAACAGTTAGACCTGTGGAATAACACATTCAGCATAGTCCAACTGCACTGGGGCTTTAAATTTTGAGGACACCGTCATCGTTCAATATAACAGCCTTTCCTCCTTTCTATTCCAGTTGATATCCTGGGAATTCTGAAGTGGAGGGACCCCAAGGAAAACCTGCTGCAGAACTTACAAAAGCTGTTACGCATAGATGGGGAGGAGATTGTAAAGGTGGGCATGTACAATAAGAGGAATTTTTCCGCCTGACTCTGATCCATTTTATTTGGCCATACTCAAGACAGATAGCTATTTTAGGGTTTATTTTATTTTAACCAACATCATTTAAATTCACTGTCTGTACCTAAAACTCTTCAGCTGCTGACCACTGAGACTACAAACTTCAGAGTCATGATTTACTTGTCAGTAGTCTATAGATAAAAAATTAGATCCAAGGTGATCTAAATAGTGACCTTGAAATTCTTTTTTCCTTGTACAACACCAGATTTGCTTGCCTCTGATGGGTGACTAACTTCACGGGTCATCAGTTCTTCGAGACCTTATATTTGCTGCTGGTTCATTAGTTTTAGTACATTTTTTGACACAGACATTTGTGTCACATATTATGAATAAACTGTTAATATTTTCATTTTAACCATATCTGGTTACATATCATTTCTTTTCCAGTTCCTCCAAGATATTCTAGATGCATTATTTTCCATGTTGTCAGAGATGAGTGAGAACCAGCCTGAGCTGCAGGTGGTTTTTAAAGCACTGGTGAGTAAGCTGGAAATTTTCAGTACAATATTGGCTTTTACAAACAAAATTGAGTGGTAATACTTTTTGAAATCACACAAAACTCTCCCAGCAGGCAAACGACATTGATTCTACATTGATTCAACGTTGATCCACCAAAATTAACGTTGATTCAACGGTGAATCATTGTCGTTTGTCTGCTGGGTCTGGTTTTAATCATATTTAGATGGTCATTTAGTATGAAGCTGTGTTGATGTCTTAACTTTCATTTTACACTTTCACAAGTCAGTATATTCAACGTAGAGCCCAAAAATGGACTAAGTTGATTTGTAGACCATTTTCACACTTTTTTAGGTCAAGATATTCAACATGCTGGAGACAACCAAATATGAACACTTTAAAATTGTCATGGACACTTACATCACAGACCATTTCTCTGCTCCACTGGTTTACAAGTAGGTGGTCCTGGTTTATTATAAGATTTAGGTGGTGTGAATTTGTACAGTTGGCTTGTATAAGTAGAATTTAGACATTGGGCAGCTACTAGGTTTTATGGCTGGTTATTTTTGTAGTGTAAATATTAGACTAGTATGTTTACGTCCCTGCTTACTATCAGTACAAATCTGGCATGCACATGACAAATTTTGCTTGCTAAGTTAAGAATGTTTGATTTTTTTTAGATTTACTTAGTTCAAGGATCAATTTTCATTTCATATTCATTCTTTTGGATCTTTGAATTCAAGTTTTTTAGTTCAAGTTATAAAATGTATCAAAAATAATGACTATAAAATGAAAATTTTGAGTTTTGAGGTTAAGTTTGAATCTGTTGCCCCCACTTCCAGGGATCTCTTGCGCTGTCTGCAGGGAAGGATTGATGCCATCACAGCCACTGTGGTCGACAAACAGAAAAACCTGCAGAATGTTTTCAAGGTAATCCTATTGATATTTTCAAATTTTTTTAGAAGACCTTTCAGGATGTCCATCAGATCCAAAGCAAAGCAATAGTTCAGTCTAGCACTAATAAGATGATATATATATATCAGTAATAAGTATATTTACTAGTGTTTTCTAATCTGTAATTTCAGGTCCTGGAATACATCTTCAAATTCATTGTGCAGTCAAAAATACTATTCACCAGGTTAGTGGTAGAGTTGTCTTTTTGTGAAAGAAATTTGAAAATTCCATGATTGACTATATTAATACTCATAATTTGATCTAAAATTTTTTGTTATAAATCATATAAATCATATTGAAATATGTATTCTTTGTGTTGGTAATTCCCTTAAAGATACTGTTATTTCAAATCATATTTAAGTATTTTTATGTCTTTTTAGGCATTCAGGTGGCCCTGCAGCTGAAGAGGAATTTAAATCTTTACTAACTGCTGTGATGAAGTCTATGGGGACAGCTCTACATTATAACAAGGAGGCCACAATTCATACCCAGGTGATACACATTTAACTTTGGCAGCCTTTTACAGAAATGTGTCTGGTTTGACTGATGCGTTTCCACATTATTCCAACCATTTGCAAAGAATTGTTTGACAAAAGACTTTAAAATCTTTGACAATCTAGAACTGATGAGTACCTTAGACCCAATTCCCATAGACACCAGCGGTTAAAGTAGATAAGTCTAACTCTGCTGTGACTCTTGCTGAAAATAATCAGCTTAACTGAATGACATCCAGTGTACATGTATAATCACCAGCTTTTCTGTATTCTGTTTATCACCAGGATGAGGCTTGTTAACCTGGGCCCCGTATCTCGAAAGCATCGTGTTTGCAAATCGCTATATCAAATAGAGGCTACAATGTATTACATGGGACAAGTATGGGCGAGTTATGGAATCGAGACGCTTACGCACGTGCGCAACATAGCAAACCTTTCGAGATACAGAGCCCTGTTAAACTGATTGCAGTCAGTTAGAGTCGTTGCAGAGTTGAATTGATCTTCCTAGAGCCATTATGTCTGTGGGAGTGGAGCCTTATATACATCTTATAGTAGCTTTTACAAAATGGTGTTTCTTGGAATGAAAAGTATCATTCTCTTAAATTACTTATTTATTTTCACGTTTCATCTCTAGTGTGTTTTGCTGCGATCGTTCAGTGGCATCTACAATGATCTTTTGCGTGTAGTTTCCAAAATGGAGCTTAGCAGCATGATCTGTACCCTGATAGCCAGGATACCCCGCGATGTCCACTACCAGCTGGCGCATGTCAAACTCTTGTGTCTGCGAGACACTGTTGGCTCGGTTCTCTTTCAAGATCCAGGTTGGTAAATCAGGCTTGTCTTGATGAAGTGACATCTATACTTGTAAGGTCAGTTCTCTTTTGATCCAGGTAGGCAAAATGGCTTGTCTTGATAAGGTGACATCTATTTCTTTGGTTAGATTTTTTGTAGTTTTTTCATCACTGTACAGTCTGTGTAGCAATCCCTGGTTGTCATAATTATGTTATATATTCACCAAAAAATCTCAACAATTTTCTTGATACTTGAAATTGATACTTGATACTTTTAAAATAAAATAGTATAAGAAGTGTATTTCATTTATTTTATCACATGGTAGAGTCCAGACACACCCTGATGCCAATGTGCCTTGGTCAGCTGAAGTACTACATGATTGAAAAACAAGAGCTCAAGGAGTCCACCGCCATCTTGGGAGACATTCTCGACGCCCTCTATGCAAATGTACAGGTACAAGTAGGAGCAGAAACATGAGTGTCCAAAGTCATTTTAACTTAAATGAATCTTTAAGAATATTCCAAATTTGATATTTTTTTAAAATAATTTCTGGAGATATTGATTTAAAGTCTGTCTGATTTTTAACCCTACTGGAAGAAACAGAATTATAAAATTAAATCAGCATATGTAACTTTTAGAAATGTTTCATGTTTTTTATCATATCAAGATAAAGAACTTTTTATACCATATTAAAACTTCAGTTGATGTTTACTTATTTTAAATCTTGCAATATGTTAGTCATGAGATGCAGTTGTCATAAAGGATCTCTACAAGATCTATAAATCATTTTATTTACTCTATTGTTGACACAGTCCAAGACGTCTCATGCGGACATAGAACACGTAGTGACCGGCATGTTGCCAGTGGTGTTACAGACCGTCACAGCTGCAGACAGGAGAAGTGAAGTTGCGGTAAGGTTTAATCTGTTTGGGGCGATATCATAAAGATATTTTAGTATGACAAGTTGATAAATGTAGAGTAGATAGCTCTGTATTTGATATTATTTTGTCAGTGTGTTTTGACTTATTACCTTTTTGTATTTAATTGGATATTTCTGTGTATGGTTGGGTTAAAGGAAAGTGGACTCCAGATGATAAACAATAGGTATGTTAAAGTCAAAGGACAAAATGAAACTTTCTTTATTTTTTCAGAATCTATTACTTTTCTGAAATAATTTTCTTTTTACATATAAAAGAATCACTATCTGTCTCCAGTGCAATTAGCATATTGTGCCTAATTAGTTTGTATATATCTCTAACAAGTCGTTCTCTCCCTGACATTTTGTTTGACTCTTTCAACATTAAAGCCTGACACGGGACTGCGGAGAGCACGTTACTCGCCCTATGTGATAAACCGCCTGGAGGAGGTAGTCCTTGGTGTTTTACTGGTGTGACCCAGCACCTTTCGTCCAGCAGCTTTCACTTCTATTTTGCTCTGTGTCCTGATGTTTTTTATTCTCTCAATTAAGCTCCTGACACTGTAGTGCAGAAGCTTTGACATTGTCTATCCGTCCGTCTGTCCATTGATGGGTGTTAAAAACTTGTCAATTTGAAAAAAGTGTGAGCTGAGCTGTGAGCTGTCTGTCTGTCCATTAAAGAGTTTCAAAACCTTATTTACCTGAAAAAAGCTAAGACTTTGCATTAGAAAATTGGAAGACCCTTGGATGAGTTTCCAAGTGGGTCGCCATGACCTTCTTTTTTAAGGCAAAAAGGGTCCTCCTGTAAACTTGGGTGTGGAGGGGGGGAGGAATACAACTTTAAATATGATGTAAGCTAGAATCATCCTCATTTGGGATGCAAACATCTCTCCTAATTAGAAAGGATTACCTTTTAGACAACTAACCTTCTTACACTCAATAATATGATGTAACTTGATGGGAGCTCCTGGCCTTTTGGGTCAACTTTTTGATGTTGTACCATTTTCCAAAGCACTCTGTCTAAATACATGTGTGGATTCCTCAAAGCTTTGTCCTCTTTGTCACTATTCATTGACCGTAAGTGCAAGTTATATGAACATTGTGATTATGTCTGCCTAAATCTTACTGCCCATTTATCCTCATTTTCCAATGTTGGACCTGTGAACCTCAATGATGTTTAGGCCCTTTTCACTTTCAGCGAGCAGGTTTTTCAAAATGTATTGTCACAGTTGTATCAGTAAAGTATACCACTCTATGTGAGAAAGACCTTCAAGTTAAAGTTGGTTTTTGATGAAACATTTATAATTTGTGCTGAAGTTTTCCATTTTGAATGGAGACAATACTTAAATGTTTAAAAACAAAAACAAAAAAATTTGTATGAAACTTTTCTTTCGTCTTTTACAATGTCTCCGTCTCTCCCAGTGTTCCTGATATGTCCTACCACTTTTCTTCACGCTGCTTTAAGTGAACATTTTGCCTGCATGAAACAAACCAAACCAAAGTAATTGCACAAACTGGGTTTACTCATTTGACCTTATCATCTTCTGGACATTATTGCACACATCCTCTAATACTGTGACAACTCGGGCTTTTGATGTGATATTTATACTGGAGTGTTCTGGTATGTGCTTAGACAGTAAGAGAACTGTTATATCTCATAACTTTCAGACGCCAAATGTTTTCCAGCATCATTTAATTTACAAGGTAATTTACATTTATGCTGGCTTATGGTGCAGTTTACAATTGATCAGCTTGCAGGGTTATATTAACAGAGACTGCACTGCTTGATTTGGAGCAAAAAGGCCAACTTATTATCAGCAGTGCTAAATACAGCAATGTTAGGGGTAACTTGTTCATGGCGTTAAGTTACGTATTCACAAATTGTTCATTGTTACCTAAAATAGCAAATTATGGAAAATATTCTACAAGTGATATTATTAAAAATAATCTTTAAATATATTTTTCTGATATGATATAAACTCATTTTCAGATCTTTGATAAATATTTGAATTTCAAATTTTAAATTTTATGAGAGAATGTTTTAAGATATTAGATAAGATTACTTTTTGTTGGAATTTATAAAAGTAATTATTGCATGCAGAACACTGGTGGGTAAGTTATTAAGGCCCTCTTCTAAATTGGACTACATGTTTCCTGTTTGCTTTAAACAAATGAATACAAAACAAATGGACATTGAATGATAAAAAGATGCTGATTGATTTTACAGCTGATTTTTGCCACCAAGATAATTTTTGCCTGCTGTAAACTTGACCTTCATCTCCTTGTTGTATTAGTGAATTTTTCCATAAGTTTGTTTCTTCGGTTGATTAATTTGAAGTTAAAAGTGAATGTAATGGCAAAGATTGCCTTCCTCCATGTATTATCTAGAAATGAACAAGTTACCTGTTCAAAAATCATTTCATCTCATTTTAAATATTATATTTGAATAGTGCAATTTTGCTAATTTTTGAAAATATTTTGATTGACAAAAAGTTTTTATGTTATTTTACTTGTACTGGTTATATCTAAGGCAACCATTGGATTCCACCTCATACCATATAAGACTTCAGAACTTCATCTTTACTCTGCAACACAAGTGAAACAGTATTTGTAGATTTAAAGTTGAAATTAGCCTTAAATCTTTGCAAATTTTGTTTTTGTTCTCCAAGAAATAATTAAGAAGATAGTTCCTGTCTATTCCAGGGTCAACTGGTCGCCTGTCTGATAGGCATGCTGAAGCTTATGGACGAGACGCACTATAAATCAGTATTAGATGCCTACGTGGATGGCCCCAGACTCAAGGTAAGACAGACATGTGTAGTATGAAACTTATTTAAAAATGTTATTTAATGTCATAGACAAGAGCAGTGTCTTGATGCATTGATAGATGATGGGTAATTCCAGAAAAATAAGTCGGTCTCTGGGTTACATTAGTGAGGTACACATTTAATGAAATGCTTACTACTTATTTATCTTGTCTAATGTACAGGGATTCCTCCTGAAAGTACTAACGGTGTTCCAAGAACTAGTGGGTAAAGATGTCTTCCCATCTGACTGGATCGTGATGAGGATGGTCACCAACAAGTGAGTGGAAAGAGCAGGAATTTTAGTTCATTATAAATGTTATATTATATTCATGATACTTCAATGGAATGAGAAGAAATATAGGTCAGTAAACGTCTTTACTAATATTTTCCCTGTTTCACCCAGAATCAGTTTTCTTTCCCATTATGACAATAATTAAAAACAAACAAGATATGGAAATTGTATCTAATGTAGCAATATATTTTTCTGGATGTATATATCTCTTTTGCTCGGATTAAAAACTTTCTCATATTGTCATTCAGTTCATACCTCCAAATTTTTATTATTGATTATTTCTACTGTTTTCAGTGTCATTCTGACTGCAATCCAGTTCTTCTCCCAGGCCCTAAACGACCATTTCCTTCACGGGGACAGCTTTGACTCACAGGTACTCCTCTGTTTTGATTATATGATTAAACTGACGCTCAGAATGAGTCAGATCACAGTGGACTCTTGCTGAATGTCGTCAAGTTTACAGCCTAACATGCCTCCACTGGGAATTGAATAGAATACAGAAAAACTGGTGATTATGCAAGTACTTTGCAAACAAGGAGTTAGTGCATATAGCTCTATTCTGAACCCTTGATATTTTTCTTGAAAATGCTAGAAGTAGAATGTAACCTGCCAAATCATGGCTTATTATGATGCATTCTTTGTGGACAAATTTATAAACTGTAAGATGTTCAAGGTAAGTTAATTTTTGAGACAAAGCACCGAAACACAGCAATCTCCCTATTCTTTTCATTTTTAATTGAAATATATTTTTAAAAAATACAAAAAGCCTAGACACAAAAAAACAAACCTGAACCATGCCACAGCTAAAAAGAGTATCTACGTAAATGATTTAGTGAAATAGACTTGAATGTGATCACATTGTATGTTATTTATGTTTCAGCTGTGGACGGAGTGTTTCAAACTCGCCGTCGCCTTCCTGACGCAGCCTAGTCTGCAGTTGGAGACGTTCTCCGAGGCCAAGAGAGCTAAAATACGGGAAAGGTAAGAGCTGTATGATGCATTGTTGGTCATTTTGTTTTCATTGCTGATTGATAATCAAGCTGTATTGTGTACTATATTGTTCAACTGCAATACTAACCTTGTCTGTAATTTTCATATATGACCAAGCTGAAAGTAATAATTACAACATTCCACCATCAATGGGTGGTACTTAACTACCTATTAAAAATATACATGTACCTATAGCTGTACTGCTGTTATTTCTAAGATTTTCACAGTCATATATGCTGCATGAAAAAGTTTTTACATTCAGCATTAAACCCAGTCACTATTTCTTTGATAACATTTGTGCAGATATCTTATCATTGTAATGTTCTATTTCTCCTCTCTTCCTCAGGTATGGAGAGACAGACATGAGGGTGGTGATGGGGTTCCTTATACTGTCCATGTGGCAGAACCTAGGTAAGTACATGAGTTTTATTTATTTCTATAGATATTCACAGTCTATACTATACACTCCTCAGACCATATTGCCTCAGGCAGCTGCTAGCCCCACTCAAAGAATCACCTGTTTGAAATCTGCAGATTATGGGATCAGTTACTGTTAAATTCACCACTTGTCAAATAAGATTATTCTAGTAACTTAGTAAAATCTAATGTTTTTAGTAGTCTAAAGACAAATCTACAAGCTAGTTGTCTTTGAATATTGGCTAACTTTGAAGACTGCTAAAACCGATCACATATTTGTTCTATTTCAACCAGGAGAGCACAAGATCCACTTCATCCCCAGCATGGTGGGACCTTTCCTTGAGGTGACGTTAGTGCCAGAGACGGAGCTGAGGAAGGCCACACTTCCCATCTTCTTTGATATGATGGAGTGTGAACAGAGACATAGAGGGAACTTTAAACAGGTAACTTGAAACTTTCAGAGGGGGCTTTACACTGGTAACTTGAAACAAAGGGGGAACTTTACACACTCAGGTAGCTTGAAACATAGGGAGAGCTTTAAACAGATAACTCAAAACAAATAAGAGAAAACAAAGCATGGCACTTCAAAGAAAAAATGAATATTTTGTTAATTTTTTCCAGGTTGAGAGTGAGTTGATAGACAAGCTTGACATCTTGATCAGTGAAAACAAAGGAGACGATGAATACAGGGAGCTCTTCAATGCTGTGTAAGTGGAGGCAGGGAAATGGTGCAGCACTGGTTTTCATTGGGTCATTCAGCTGCATATTTCTCTTCTCTTTAAACATCTTTTACCTTCCAAAAGCTGTCAATTTCTTTTCCTTCATATTGTGTTGAGAAGATATAAGACCAGATGAAATTATTATATAGGATATTGGATGGGGTTTTATGGAGGAGAAAAATACCCAGGAATGACCCTGTCTGTACTTACACAATAATATGTTAGACCAGTACTAGTAGGACTATGATATGCCAATTAGTACATTTGTGATAATAATCTGAAGTTTTTCGAAATGTGACAGTTTTATTGAAAAGTTGCAGCTCTGTTTCCTTACTTTTTGTCATGAAGTAAGTGTGTTCTTTTGTGCTGAACATGTATATTTTACTGTTATAATGCAAACAGGGAGTATTTAAGTTCAGCGTAAGTTGTATAATGTCAAATAATTATGTTTAACTGCTTTCCAGCAGTACATTTACACCCTTTGTTTACTTAGCCATGTGATTCATCATTGAGAAGTTTAAGAATTTGTTTTTATTAATGTTGTTTCATAAATATATCTTTATGTGCTTTAATTGTATTTCAGTTAGTTTTGATATTTTTGTTGCTGGTTATTTCATATATTTACATGTGAAAAATGATGGCATGTTTTAGTTGTCAGTGTTTTGGTAATCTTACTATGAATTTCTAGTAGGAAATACAGTAATTTCAGTATTTGTTAAAATGTGTATTTCCGAAAAAAGAGAATGATACTTTTATTGTGATTAGTCAGTATGCATATAATAGAACAGTAGGAAATGCACATAGTATACACAGTGTAATGTGAATTATTTATTTTCTTTCTATGTGAACGAATAGCTTGTAAACCATGTGGACCCTAGAGTGAGGTTGTCATGGTGTTGCCATGGTTTTTCCTTGGTGGTGTCATGGTGATGTCATAGTGTAGCTTGGTGTTGTTTGAGTTTGTTGCATGTGCGATATGTTTATTTACTGTAATATACTGAAATTTCAAGCACCACCTACACAATTGATTTCAATTTATATACTTTCCAGTTTTAAGAGTTGATTTTTGTCAATATATAACCTGTATGATTTTCTGTATATATTAACCAGATATCTTTTGAATAACCGAATATCTGTAATGTTGAAAATATCAAACTGACTGCATGCTCAGAAGAGTATAGGTGAACAAGTGTCTAATCATTTCTTCAGAAATATTTCAGAAGCACATTTTGCACCCCCAAACAATATTCATACCTGTTGATAATTCACAGGATAATTTATTTTTTATTTGAAGATATGTATGCAAGGCTCTAATATACAAATATGAGTTATAAAATTTACACCACACATAACTTTAACAGTACCATGAAGATTTATTGCATGCAGTAGGATTATTTGGAACACTTAATTTTGCAGAACAGCCAACTTTTAAGTCGTAACTAATTACCCACTATATAATTATCAAATTTCCGTACAATTCCAGGCTTTTGGACAAAGTTCAAGCTTCTGAGACCTCCTGGAAGGAGAATGGCACCATTTTCATCAACTCTGTTACCAGGTTACTGGAGAGACTGCTGGACTACAGGTACAGTACAATAGGGGGCAGCATGGACCAAGACAGTATTCTGTTCACTTGAGTTGACATGCAGACTAACAAATCTAATGTAGAGAAGATGTGAAGTGATCAGAAGTGAAGGGAAACATCATTGTTATGAGCTGTATTTGCCTGACAAAATTTGAGCAAATATGATGTCTAAACAAGAATGGAAATTAGAAAATGTTTTCAAAATTCAGAGAAATAACTTCTTGATCATTCCAGAAATGTGATGATGGGAGATGAGAACAGAGACAAGAGGATGACTTGTACTTTTAACCTGTTGGTAAGGGGCTACAGGATGATAACCATGGTTACAGTAATGATTCTTTCTTTTCATTCGGGAAAATCATTATTCTTTCATAAACAAAATTTTGGAATAATTAAAAATATACATCTGTGTAGCATTTGCAGTGCTTTTATGAATGTAGAATAGAACTATAAGGTAGCCTGCTTTAAATTTATTTGCTACCATCCAATAGGAATTTTAAGAATTTATAACTTAAAAAAAGAAATGCAATGTAAAATTCACAATTTTCCCCATTGAAAAGACTTAGTCATTACCCTCCTTGATAGGTATGAATTTATATTTCATGGTGTTACTGTATTATATTGAATATCCCATATTACAACACTGCAGTTACTACTGGTATATTTGAAGTTTATTTCAAACTGCTGTTTAAGTGCTGCGGACTGTACCAAATAAAATAAAAATTTAATCATTAATTGTCCAAGATGACAGCTCTTCTTGTTTTATACATAATTTTAAAGGAGTCTGCATTTATACTTTTATTTGAAGCTAATTTCTGTCTAAACTTTCTATTTTTCATTCTGCAGAACTTCTACAACAATGAAATTCAGCGGGAAGAAATGTATGTGCGATACATCTACAAACTTTGTGACCTTCACCTTGCTGCAGAGAACTACACAGAGGCTGGTTTTACGTTACAACTTCACGCCAGCCTGCTAGAGTGGTCAGACACCATGCTTCATGCGGACCACAAACATCCTCACGCTGAGTTTGAGTGGCGGAGGAAAGAGGGACTTTATAAACAGATCATTGACTATTTTGATAAGGGGAAAGTGAGTTGTTTGCCGAGGTGGTATTCCATCATTACTTTTATATGTGAAACCCAAATAGAGCTCTGGGTGCATCTGTTTTGAGAAACAAGAATGTTAGGAGTGTAAACTAATCTTTTACAGACAGGATGCACATTTAGTTGATTTGATAAAAATCTCTTCTCCAGACAACAAATAATAATATTGATAAATTATAAAAATAATCATGGATGGTGATTTATATATTTTTAAAGTTGTTTCATAATTTCATCTGGCTATTTTTATTATGTACAGACACAGATGTGTCTGTACATATAGCCATCATCTGCGTCTGTCGTCGCCGTCGTCGCTGTCGCCGTCGTCGCCGTCGTCGCCGTCGCCGTGCNGTAATTTCATCATGATAAAAAAGTTTTCCATGTTCTTGAGTTTTTGAGAAACAAAAAAGTATTCAAATTTTACTGTTCTCACAAAGGCTAGATTATACAAAACTGAAAAAATTCCTGTCTCAATTGTTTTCAGGCGTGGGAGTATGGCATTCCACTCTGCAAGGAACTGGCTGATTTATATGAGAAAACCTACGACTATGCAAATCTTAGTAACATTTTGGTAGGCTCACTGTTTTCATTTCAGATCTTCAATTGGATACTTTAGTTTGCACATTTTGACCTGATTGGCATATTTTGCTAAGGTTTAAACGTGATTTTTGTCTTAAATGTTTCATCTTAGAATATTTTACCTTTGAATGAAAATTTTTGGCTGTAGTAATTTAGTTTGAGAAAGATAAAAGGAAATTGTATGAGATTCTAAAGGAATTCAACTTTCATCACCAAATGTTTATTTGATGTTTTTCTTGAATTTTCAGAAAACCCAGGCTCAATTTTTTGATAAAATCTTACATGAGTTGAGAGCAGAATGTGAATACTTCAAAGTGGGCTTCTATGGCAGAGCTTTCCCTATGTTCTTGAGGGTAAAAACTTGTTCTTTTTCTTTTAATGAATTTTTCATTGTCTTGGCAGATACATTTTCCATGACAGAAAGCACCTGTTTATGGCATGGCTGCTGTATAAAAACATTTTAAGCATAAAAATCAGATATGATTCAAAACAATGTCTCTGTTTTTCAGAAATAAAATTTTATAAAACTAGTGTGTGTGACTTAAAATTCATTTCATTAAAGATCCATATTTAGATGTTTGGATATTTCACATGTAATGAGGAACAATATGGTGCAATGTTTAGCAAATTGTTTCACAAATTCTTCCTTTCAGAACAAAGTTTTTGTCTACAGAGGAGAGGAGTATGAGAAATTGTCTGCGTTCAACCATCGTCTGCAGCGTGAGTTTCCTGCTGCCACCATAATGAGCAGTAACACGCCGCCAGACGACAGCATATGTAATGGAGACGGACAGTGTATCCTTGCTGATGTGAAGCAGAACTGTTTTATTGGCAAATATATAGAAAAATAGTCTGGTAGATAAAAAGTTTAGAGCAATATATAAGCTGCACCAGATTATTTTTATAACCATGAAAAATCAGGCAATCATCACTTTTGGCCATTTCATTAAACTGAATTTAATTGGTTGAATAGAAGACAAATAGAGTTATAAGAAGAGCAATATATACATTTGTACAAGATATATATGCAGCAAGTGCAACATGATTGTAGATGTGTTTTCTTCTTAACTTTTGTCTTCTCAGACATTCAGATCTGTAACATCAAGCCCATCCCGTGTGACTTGGAGGTGTTTCGTAGCCTGTCTGTGCCACAAGCCGTGAAAAACTTTTACAAAGTCAACGACATCAAGACATTTCAGTACTTTGTTCCATTCCATAAAGGAGTCAAGGATAAGAATAATGAGTTCAAGGTATATGAAATTTTGAAAAGTTTCTTTTGAAGTAATGAAATATCTATAGTAAATTATAAGGGATAACAACTCTTCATACGAGATGTATATTTTGCAATAAATATATTGTAAACAACTCGTAGAAATATAATAAATTCTGTTTAACTACCAAAACAGTAGCTATTGCAATTATTCTGGAAGATTCTTAAGAGATTATTTTAGAAAAAAAGCAAGGACTAACTTTGAATGTCTGAATGATTTAATGCAAATTTGCTGGCTTATGAAAATAATTCTCCCATAAAACCCTCTGTTTCAGACTCTGTGCCTAGAAAAAACAACTTTAAAAACAGGCCACTCTCTGCCGGGAATTCTGCGCTGGTTTGAGGTGCAGGAGATAAAGACAATAGAGCTCAGCCCCATCGAGACGGCCATAGACACCATGGAGAACATGAACAAGGAGTTGCGGAATCTTATCAGTCAGTATGGCCATGAGACCACCCAGAGTCTTAATCCACTCACCATGAGACTGAATGGGGTCATAGACGCAGCTGTTAATGGAGGCTCTGCTAAATACCAAGAGGTGACTTTGTTAAAAATACAATTATATAAGTTCATGGGAGGATCCAGAGAAATTTTCTGATGGTCTTCCCAAATAACTTTTTGATCAATCCTCCATTTTTGACCGTCTTCCCACAGAAAAAAATGAGATACCTATCAATGTGAACTTGAAAATCTGACCATCTTCCGGAACACCCGAAAGATGGCCAGTTCGCCCCTGAAGTATATACATTTTTTCCATACTACTGCATAAGGGGATACTTGTAGTTTAGTATTAATATGGTTTTTGTTGTCAGTCTGTATGTATGTCTTTGATGGTGTGTATTTAATAGGAAGAAAGAAAAACATATTTTCTAAGGAGTGAAATATAAGAATATGTTGCGGGTTGTGGAGTGGAGAGTAATGCATTACATATATGCTTAAAAAGTTACTCAACTTTATCAATTTATATTTCTTACAGATGTTTAAAATTTCAATTTGCCTACATTTTAACGGATTGAATACCAGAATACCATTTCAGTATTGATGAAGATATGCTATTTTAATAATACATTATATTTTTAAATCATTGCCAAATTTTTCTTCCCCCAGGCCTTCTTTTCAGCTGAATTTGCAATTCAGAACCCAGAAAGTCTTCACCATATCCCGGTGCTGAAAGGACTGTTCCAACAACAGGTAGGACATCTTTTCACCTTGAAGTCTGAATGAAGAAAAGCAATGGCGGATCCAGAGATATATTCTGACAGTCTTCTAAATTATCTTTGTTGATCCATCCATCTTTTTTGATCGTCTTCCGACAGAAAAAAAAATAGATACCTGTCAATGTAAACTTCAAAATCTGTCCGTCTCCCAGAAGACCAAGAAGACGGTCTCAATCCACCCCTGAAAAGCACTTATTTAATGTCCATATTGTAAAAAGTATTTGCAGTCTCTTTAGATTGTGATTTCCAGTTAAAAGATTGTGTTATGAATTTTCTTACTAAATGACATACCAAGAAATAAAGCATTTAGTTAAAACAGTTACATGCTTTTCATGTATGAGAAGATTTGCTACTGTAGTGACCTTGAAAAATTAAACTATTGTCAGTTGTTAATATGGAAGCATGGACTCTGCACAGTGGGAGGAGACATTTCATGGTGCCCGTGTTGAATATGTCTGGCATCTGAGAAATTTCAGTCATTACCTCAAAATTAATGGATAGGATTAGGATTGGAATTTGTCATGGTTCTTCAATTGAAACACAAAATTATTTTTTGCCTGCTGTTTCAGGTGACCCTGTTGGAAGATGCTCTAGGCATTCATGGCCGCTTGGCTCCAGAACAGGTGCAGCCATTACACAACCGTCTGGTAGAACTGTTTGCTACAATGAAGGAATCATTCAGATCTACTGTAAGTGTGCTTTAAGGGACATTTGAGTAAATTGCTTAAATGAAAAAAAAAAGATTTATAACTAAATGCTTCTAAATGTACAAATCTATTCTATCTGAAAATACAGAAGACAGATATACACTATAATTTTCGAGTGTAAGTCAGATTACTCTTCTTGAATAAATGAATCTGATGTTAAATGCCTCGTGGGCAATTCCCTCACTATTTAGGGTTCCCCAATGATGACAAGACACGCCACTGTGAGGAAGAAGTCAGATCCTCTCCCTGATCTCCCAGGTCAAATACTCCAACCAACCAGCTTAGACTCCGGGGGCTCACCAAGGTCAAGGTCAGTTGAACAGTCTGAGCAGTCCTATTGAATATGTTTTACAAATTTTCTCTTACGTAGATATTGATAGTTTCAAAAATAGAATGATTCAGAATCTTCTCTGGGGTTAAAATTTAAGTATAGATCGGACCACAGCACTTGTAATGTAATCAACACTATCATTTCAGCTCATCATTGACACCAACGCCCCCTAGTAGTAATCGTTCCTCTGGTGTCTATGGTGATATTCCAGAGGAAGAAGAGGATTTGTATGCTTCTCCTAAAGAGGTATGTGCGAGGTTATAAACACATGCCCCTTGGTTTATTTACCCTGGGAGTGGTTTCTGCCAAATGATAATTCAGTGCCAGCATTAGAGGTAGAGGGACTTGCTTGCAACTTTAACTGCCATTAACTGTGATCAACTTAAGAGTTAACAAGTCAAAGATTTGAGCACCTGTTTTAGAGTTCTCTATTTCTTATCACTTGGATTACTTGAAATTAACAGTCAACTAACTGCACCTTCACTTCAGCACATTTCCCATTTCATACATTGACCTAGTGTAGCTGTATTACTGAACCTTTCTGTTGTATTTAAATTTCCCTCATCTGTGATCATTGGGCACATGACACCCTGTGATACAGTAAACTGTCAGGGGGTGCTCTATTCAGCATATGTTTTCCACTACCCTTCGAGTTCCAGGGTGATGGGAATTATATGTTGGTTTTCATAGGGGACAGCCCTGTGTCCAAATATAGGGATTTTTTTGGTGAATTTATCTGAAAAAGAACAGGTGCTTGAATCATTTCATCAGAGGAACATGATTTTGAAAGTCTGACAATTACACTGTATTGGAATTTTTAAATAACTATAATGACATTTTGGGAAGCTTCTTGCTCTCAGTCAGCTTGGAGATGGCTAGCTGAAAATTTTAAAAGAGCTGTGCGATTCTGTCTTGACTAATTTTGTGCTGCTCAAATTTTAGACGTAACAATCACGGCCTGTTCATTATGCATCTCTTAACAATGTAAGAGCTTTGGTATTGAGACCAAGAACAATCTAAACATTTTCACCATTGGTCTATGTGGATTATCACAGCCCTGCAGGGACTCCTGCTGAATGACACGTCTCTTCTTGGCATTAAGTAGAATATATGTAGCAAAGGTGGGGATTTAACAAGTTCATTGGAAGCAAGAGGAGACATGTCAGACAGTTATGCTGATTGTACTTACCAAGCATTCCTACAACTTGGATGGATCTTCTTAGTTCATTGGTGTTTATTGGAATGAAGTCTAAGATGGATGGTCAATTGTGATCCAATTACCCCTAAATTAACCTTGTATGATAGCACAAATTTAGCATCATTTTCTCCCAGCATAATCCTAGATTGAACAAAACCAGCCTGGTACTAATATAGATCATTGCTTTACTGCTAATAACAATACAGGTGCTTTCTTTCTTTCTTTTCTTTCTCCCCTGTGTAGTCAGCTAGGCAGAGTGTAGTGGCTAGCAAACGTAGTATGTCTCCCGTGATAGAGAGACACAGCACGGGGACACGTAGACCCGCCAACTCCTGGCTAGCACAGAGACCACAGTCTATGAATATACAGGAGAAATTTGAACCCAAGGTTTGTAAGTTAATTAACAGAATATTATGACTAACTGTGCATGTTTGAAGCATATGGTGTCGGAGAAAAAGAAAGGAGAAATTAACGATCTTAATCTGGCATGCCCTTATAAATGAAACTTCTCAAACCTGTTTTCATTGTCACTCGCTGTCTCCAGTTTATGCACACTTTCCTTAATATTCCTGCTTCTTTTCTTTCTAGTTGTGATATTTCTATATCTAATAGCTAAGATTCTAGAGGGCAGATACATAGTTATAACTTGTAGGGTTTGTCTTCATAACATTGAAGATATTTTATGTATTTTCACTTTGATTGGAAATGGTATTGCTACGGACCTGGTAGTTTATGATGCAGAATGTTTTGATTTTACTGAAGACCATAATAAATTTTTTTTTTTTTGTTAGATTGATCAAGCAACTAAAAATTGATTATTCAGAAAAGTTTTTGATATTTGCTGAGTATATCATAGAGATCCCTCAATATATTTGATTACGTACATGTACATTTATGATTACTTTCTGCATGATGTTTTCATTTTCTCAGCCACGTCCTGCACACAGACACTCCAGCGAACCCGCCATATCGCCCGCGTCACAGCCCTCAGTTAATGGACCTCCACACAGAAGAGCAGGCACAGTGCATCAGAAGACTGGCAGCACCTCTTCATCCTCAACGCCATCTATCTCCAGCACTGAGAGTGGCATTGATGTGGCGCCACCTATTCCCAAGAGGCACCAGTCACCAAGTATAGGTACCATGGGTAGAAATAAGATTTAAAGAAATGAGAATTATAAGTTCCATACTTTTGCACAGTATTTAAGTTTTCACACCTCAGTTATGCATGATTTTATACAGCATTGTTACTGAGTGTTATTGTTTGGATAGAATTCAAAGATGATATTTATCATAAAAACAATATGTTATTAATTTGACTTAATGAGGTTTCCCAAACTTATGCACGTGAGTATCATATTACGAAAATAATAAACAACATGTTCCTTTTCTCTTGTCTTTAAAGATAGCGGAAGTAGCAGCAGGAAAATGGACTCCAGCTCCTCAGGGGATGGGGATATGGTTTGTCCTGCCATTCCAGCCAAAGTTCACAAAACACCAGTGAGTTGTCTGCACCACTCATCTCCCACAACATTAGCAGCATTGCATTTTCTTATCTGCAAACATTATAACTTTGGCAGAAGAAAATAGATGTACTTTTCTGTCAATATTTCATTGCTTACATCAAACGTCTTGTCCAAAAATTTTAAGAGATTGATTGTAAAGTAAATAGTGAGGTAAGGCCAGAGTGAAGAAATTAGATGATGTCATTGAACAGTACGGCATTGTTATGAAGATTACTTTGACAATTAGAGTGTATTAAGTGATTCCTCAATGACATGGGCATGTCTGCTTTTAAAAATCCACATACTGAAGTGTATGCTGTTTACTTGTTGCTACCCTTTTTCTTTGTAAGATTATACCAGTTGTCTAATGATGATATTTCACATGTTATTCTTCCAGGACTCGTCTTCCCCTAAGACCCCAGGCAGCAGGCCTCCCCCAATATCCCTGAGGAGTAAATCCCAACCGTCTATAGATACAGGGGCACCTGCTCTACCCCCCAGGGACAGTCCCAGGACTAAAACCAGGCAGGTCACTCCCCCACCCCCTGCCTTACCCCCCAGGGATGGACACCATACCCCACACAAAGAAGGGGGAGAGAGTACCTTCCCCAGGTACGAGCACCCTAAATTACATCCCACGTTGTCCAATCCTAAAACATCGCCAGAAGGTCAGGGGTCAACGGTCCCGCCTCTACCTCCCAAACCAGCCAGTTCACTGAGGTCGCCGCCAGCAGTGAAGACTGAAGCGCCACCTGCAGAGTCAGGGGATGACAGAGGTGCACCGTCCCCATCTGAGACCACGACTTCCCAGGGTTCCATAGCACCACCACCATCAACGCCCCCTAGGAGTGTGCAGGGACATGGTAGTGTTCGCCCTAGGCCTGCGCCAAGACAGAAGTCGGTTGATCAGTCGCCTTCTTGATGATTGTAATATAAAAAAATTTTTTAAAGAATTGAAGAAGTGAAATTTGCCTGGCAACTAGTTATTACATATAAAGTTCTAGATTTTTGTACTTAAGCTGAACTCTTGTCAAATTAATGAGTCAGTTTTGCCCGATAACACAAGCCATCATTGTAGCACTCAGCGCTTGTTGACTCAACAGTGGCGAGTCATTGCACGTGCCTCAAAAATTATGTTTGTTTTATGGAGCAGTGAAAAACTTCCCAAAAAGTTAAGAAGGCCTGGTTCTGTTTAGCAGAAGTTTTAATGACTGATAGAACTTTTCTGCGTGCTTGAAAGTATCAGTGTGTATTCTGGAGTGACATCAGTGGAAATAGTGACATGTGATAAAAGATTGACAAAGTCATATCTGCAGTTGATCCCTGTACCTGAAAATTAGTTTTTAGTTTTCTTTTTTTCCACTCAAAATACATATACTTTAACCATTTTTTGTGCTGATGTTTGTAGATTATTTGAAATATAATTGTGTTTTATATTATCAGAACTTGTTTTCTAGGTTTCAAGTAAAATATCTTCTTAAGCAAACAGCTTTATTATGTACAGACACAGATGTGTCTGTACATATAGCCATCATCTGCGTCTGTCGTCGCCGTCGCCGTCGTCGCCGTCGTCGCCGNGTTGTGCATGATTATAAAATTCAGTGTTGACTGATAGTGCTATTATAAGCATTATTTATTATTGCATCAAAATTAACAAAATGACCTTTTTTGCATCTTTATTTTCTGTTTTTTGTCTGTACATTTGACAGCTTTGCTGCCTTGTTATTATTATTATCAGAACGATTTCAGAAACCAGCTGGGATGGTTTTTGTGAGGTATTACAATGTTTAACTTGTAACACACATATTTTACTTTACAAATGATTTTTCACCAAGTCCATGGATAAGAATCCAAAGAAATGTGTTAAATGTAGATAATTATTAGCAGAGAAATTTAGAAATTGAGTTTAGAAGTGGTGTTGCAGTTTGCTATTTCAGCTGCTTTATGCAAAATATATATGCATAGAAGATGATTATTGATTTAGCAAAATATCGCCCTGTGTTGTTTATTGCTGTCACGTGATGCATGTTGTTAAATTTTTAAAACAAGCAGTTATTGTTAAGCAAATGTTTTTGGAGAAAAAATAATTTTAAGAGAAATATTTGAAGATGGTTTCACGGGATATTTATTTACCTTCTCTTTAGCCTTGAGAAATTATTTACACGAAAGATACATGTGACATCAGTAAAGTTTTACAGCTGCCGTTGTCCCAATTTTCTATTAATTTATAAAGCTTAGCTGAAGTTATTTGAAACTAGAACTATTTTATATTATATGTAACATGATTTCAGTGTAGCTATGAAAATGTCCTTCTGTTAATTTTAATTAAAATGTATTCCTGTCAGTTGAATTGTAATCACATTTGAGTTAAAATTTTCACCCTATTTTCTTTGATTTAACAGCTTGTCACCAGGGTAACCATTATTGCTACAATTAGATTTATTGCTCACTTTAAAACAATGCCATATAGTGTCAGATTTCATGCTTGGCATGTTAGTTAAATTTTTTAGTATTTTCTGAATAAAGAATTATGGTGAGGTACTACAGGAAGTTATGAAGACAAATTGGTTTTGAGAAAAAGTAAACATACTTTTGCAATTTGTGAATAGAACGAAGTAGTGAACTTCTGGAGATGATACCAAATGTGGTGAATCAATGTTCAGAACTATCTGAAACTAAGGGTAAGTTGCTTAAAAAGACTTGGATATAAAAATCACCTGTTTTTGACATTTGGCCATACCAAAGAAGTATGGAAACATGGTCTTTTCATTAGGTCATATAGTAAAAATAAAAGAAAAGAAAACTGAAGGCCCATTAGATTAGTTGTAAGGGCAAGCCAAAAATACCGTTAGCAAGTTTAAATGTTAATCAGGTCATTCAAACGAATCGATGTACACGTATGCATGTATAACGGACACGCACGCTACTTTCAGAGGTCTGACATCAATTTTTAAAATACATTCCACAGTTACACTGTAATATTTATACACAACCTATCTGCTCATCAATAATACAGTGGAATAAAGATGATCTTAAAGATATTTCTTGATGTGCTTTTTTTTCACCTTTTAGCAGAGTTGTATTCAAAAACTGTAAGGTCTAAGTGTGCAATTTTATAAGTTATTTCAAATTATAAATGGAGAACAGAGGTCAGTGTGGATATTAATGAAATGAGAATAGTCGAAGGGCTGAGCTGTTGATAACCTATCATATCGGCAATTAAAGATACCTCTAGTACACTATAGTAGCTGAACTTGAGACCTTTACATTGCACTGCTCCTCACACATTGTATACATATATCTAATAAAATAAGTTTACTAATGTGTTAATCCATTAAATATGATGGACAAAAACACATATTGATAATAAAATCATCATGGATATTTAATGCAGATCTTTCACAATGACATTACAATGTCATTTGACGATGCACATCAACTGAACAAAATCTCCCACCAATACTTGGGGCGTACCCTTTAATAAGGTACTGGGAGGACGACGTCTCTTCTAGCAGCACTACGTTTGGTTGTCCTGCAACAGTTGATGGATAGTTTGTTACACATAAAACCTTGTATGTGCCACAGATTCCACATTAGTAATAGCATCGAGTTTCGATTTGACGTGGGGCGCTTTGCACCCCTACAAATCAATACCTGATCATCCCCTTTACTGATATGTCGTAATACATATACTGTTATTTGTACTGTTATGTTCTTTTTGAAGAATTCAATTCACATGGTTTTATTTGAAATCAAGGGTGACCCACCACGGACCAAATTCAAGCACAAACTTAATGTCTTTGTTTCTTTCTATTTTAATACATTCACTTTATAATTAGTTCATCTGAACTAAACCCTAAAACTTAGAGGAAGGAAGGAGACTTACAGATTGGGTGTCCTACTGCTTGCATGGAAGACTGGTTCATTCTGAACTAATGCAATAGAAATCACCTACGTAGGATGTTATGTAATGCAGACTCAACCTCTCTTCCGTACCCATGGGTGAAAGTTGTAAAAACCAAAATTCCTGAAAATGTAGCTTGCAATTTCTCATCATATTTAGACCATATGCAAAAAAAAAACAATCAAATGGTGGACGGAAAATCCCACAATCAGACAAAATCCTGCACACTTTCACCCATGTCTATATTCTGCTAAATCACGGTTGTCACAAGACTGTAGGCTCTCTCAGCTGATACTCCTATTGAAACTGGGGCTATTTTACGAAACATGTTGAAATGTCTACATTGCAAGGCCATGCACAAAACTGCCTTCAGTCGTCCTCTTCACTCTCCTCTTCATGTAACAAATCTTTCAAAGCATTAACTGAAAATAGGGACAAAGCCATAAGGCACAAAAAAAGAAATGCACAAGATGGGAAGTAAATTGTTAATTCAATGATGTTCAAAGACCTGTCATCTACTACTTAACAGCTACATGAAACAATTATTCTTGCAGATCGGAATGCTGTTTTTTTTTTTCAAAAAATTTTTAATGTAAAAGATCTAAAGCAAGAGACACCCATGTACTCACAAATGGACTACAAAATGCCCAGAGCACCTTCTAGAGTTTATTATATATATAAATTACAAAGTCTCAAAATGCAAAACCAATAACATAAAGAAAACAGATATTAGTAAACAGGTACCTTCAGTTTCTGGAATTCCCACATGATCTTTGAAAATCAAAGACAGGGAAGACAGAAGTTCTAAGTACTGATGCCCAACCTCCTTACGGTGCTCTTCAAACAGCCTATCAGAGCTGGCCAATGCATGCAGCAAGGAGACTCCACTGCGGAGTAGGGACGGGACAGATTGGCCTCTCTGAGTGTTGGTGAACACCTCTAGCTCACTGTGCATGATAAGGACCACGGTACGGACCACCTGGAAGTGAGCAAAATTGAAAGTACAAAAGGACATTATCTCCAGGCTCACGGCTGCCATACGAATGCTGAATGAATTCATGCTCACATCTAAACTACAGAAGACAATATTGATGAAGTCAAAGAGTAAAGTACAAAAGTACAGGATATTCTATTTCACCAGTTTATTTATTTATTCATTCATTTATTTTTATTTTTTGTGGGTGGGTGGGTGGGTGGGTGGGTGGGGGGTCAATTTAACCCAAGTTTTCAGGTTGAATCTCTTCAGCCGGGGAACACTCAAGAGTTATGCAGACACTTAAAAATTTTTGAAATCATCTACGATATTTGTAAAAACTCCCAACTTAGCATAAAATCATTTGGAGGAGAGTGGGTAAAGAAGTAATGGCAAACAAGTAAATGTGTAGTGGCAAAGAACTTCAGCTGAAAACCTTACCTCCACACTACAGGGACACTTGGCTTCCACAAGTAATCCAGTACCACTTGGGTGGCTTGAAGCTATTGCACAAAGTAGTTCTATGATCTAGATATTAGGAATAAAAGACTTTACTAAAATAAAAATAACATTTCTAAAAGAAATTAATACACATTTAAGCCATTTCTCCCTCCCACACATTCAGACAACATCTTTTCATGAAATGTAAGTGAAAGTTTATGATCAACCCTAATTACCTAATATTTTACTAAAACACAGTCCAATTTTTATCGTTTACATACAGAGGCTGAAATAAAACAAATGCACTATTGATAAATTTAACAAAGTATGGCATGAATCAGTGGAAAGCTTTCAGCAATCTAACAACAGCGATCTAGAGCCCCACTCTACCACTCACCTTGGTCCTCAAGGCAGTTCTATCTGTCACAGTGAGGTGTTCCAGAGGTTGTCCACCAAGGTTATACACAGCAGCTAACACACAGCTATCTGGAAGAACAGCAATGGAAGAGAACCAAGTGTAGTGAGTGAAGGTTCTGATACATACCAACAGTGTGTTACACCATAAGAGGAAAATATAAATCTACTTGGAGCAGATACCTAGTCATCTGACCCCTAACATGACCAGCACTTTGGGCACTGACACCCATCTTTCCCTTGAAATGAAGAACAGTGTTTGTAACGTTCGATCACTGATTTGTTACTTTCTAATTTCAAGACTCGACTTGTTTTTTCATCTTAAGTGATAGCTACGAGTAGTTCACATTTCAACTTCTACTCCGCTGAGTCAGATCAAGAACATGGGCCTATATTGAAGATTGGGACACAGTGTCAGGTATCATTTAAACTCGCAGGTATGCTTTAAAAAAAAAAAAAAGAAAAGAAAAAAGAAAAAAAAAT